TATATGTATATAGTGTACTGAGTTGATTTAGTGGTGCTTGTGTGTGTATATGTGTTTAGGACTGTCCATCTGAGATAGATGACTGCTCAGGGAACTAGTCCCTGGAGAAAATGGATTCTTCCTCCTTCAACATCCATTGATTGCCTGTAGCTTTTCCTCTTGTGGTGGGACCCCATGAATTTCCCCCATCCACACAGGCATATCAACTGGTTTTGCCATTAAGAAGCTGTTATTAGGCCACTATACTGTGGAGATTTTACGGGCATATCTTCCTACCAACTAGCAGCAGCAAGTGTCTTGTCCCTTTGGCTCTTACAATCTTTCCACCCCCCTTTCCTTGATGTTCCCTGAGCCTTAGGTGTTGAGATTGCATTGTAGGTGGGCTTAGAGCTGGGCACCTCACAGTCACTTATCTATGAATGTTGACCAGTGGTGGAACTTTGTAATACTCTCCATCTGTTGCAAAAAGAAGCTAATTTGGGACTGGAGAGATGGCTCAGTGGTTAAGAGCACTGGATGCTCTTCTAGAAGACCTGGGTTCACTTCACAGCACCCACATGGTGGCTAACAGCTGCCCATAACTCCAGTTCCAGGGGCTCCAACGTCCTCTTCTGACCTCCTCAGGCACTGCATGACACAGGTGTACTTACATGCATGCAGACATTACAATCATACACATAAAATATAAAATAGTTTTTAAAAAGAAGCTAATTTGATTAGGTTGAGAACTATACTTCTCTGTGAATATAAGAATATGTATTTAGAATATAGTAAGAAATTACGTTGGTCTGGGAAAGTGACAGTAGTTGGTTCATCTCTAGAGTCTATGACCTCTCTAGTCATGTGTACTTGGCTATGTTTACAGTACCCTGCATGGGTTTCCTCCTATTGAGCTGGCCTTAAGTCCAATTAGACAGCATCAATAGAGATAATTGTTGTGGTCTGTAAGCCTCACAGTTGGGTAGAATCATTGGTAGTCTCATCAACTTGCATAGTACCCTCTTATGCCATGAGAGCTAGTCTACTGATTGCTGAGGCTTGGTTACGTGACCCCCTGAAGACATGTGTTAGAAGATTAGTCCCCAGCTTGGTGCTACTGAAAAGAGGTGGAACCTTTAAGAGGTGTGCTTAGGTAACCCTTGAAGAGGATTGTCAGACTCAGAATTCTCTCTTCTTGCCTTGCGGTGTCATGAGGTGAGAAGCTTTCTCCACTGCATGGTCCTGTTGTGTGCCAAACTCAACATAGGCCCCAAAGAAACAGGACCAAATCACATGGACTTAAACCTCCAAAACTATGAACCAAAACAAACCTTTCCCCTTTTTAAGTTGGCTATCTCAGGTATTATATTACAGTAACAAAAACCAAATACACTGATGCTTTAGTTATTAATACTCTGCTCTAAAATTATGGGTGGAAGGTGGAGCCATCATTAAGGTTAAATTCATGTCTTGCTTCTTTTTTATTACTTGCATTGAACAATAATTCACCTGGGTGCTTCCTTAACACAAAGCCTATTGGTGACATCACAGCTGACTCAATACAGGCGATTACCAGATAATGGATTAGCCAATGTGATGTTTCAACTTTATAAAACAAGCTTTTCTGAGCCTAAACAATCACCATTTAAAGACACATGAGATATGAGTTACGAAGATGCCTGTGCTACATGACTAGTTGCTGAGGGCTGCCTTCTGGAATGTCTCTAATTTATTATTGTTTTAGATGAGCCCATGCACATATAAATAGACACAAGTGGCCTTCTGCTCATGAATTATGGTGGGCCATGGATCCCAGCCACACAATAACTATTTAACATTTTAAAAGACAACTTGAGATTTAGAGAAAAACAAATTATTTGCTCCTAAGTATACGGTTATTCTCAATGTGTGCCAAGAGAGTAATAAAAACTAATATTTGACAAGTACTTTCAGGTTTCCAGACTACTTTTCACATCTTTTAATTGCTACCACTTATTATGCCAGATACTGTATTACACTGACTTGAGATATATTTTCCACTGACTCCACAATTCTGGTAACTCATGGTGGGTTGACTTATGACTCTTCTGACTTCACAGTGGTATGAAAGTGTGGTTACACAACGATTGCTTCTCTTTTCAGTACAGTGTTCAATCCATTATGTGAGATATTTCATCAGGACACAGACTGTGTTACGTGATTTTTTTCCAGCTGCCAACTTTAATGTTCTGACAATGTCTACGGAAGGACAGGTTGGGTTTTAGGTGCTGCATTAGTTTCTTTTCTGCTGCTGTGATAAAGTAGTTTGATGAAAAGAACTTAAGGAAGACAGGGTTTATTTTGGCACTGGGTTCCAGAGAGATAGAGGCTATCATGGCTGGAGTCCTGACAATAGACAGGGAAGGCACTGTGGCAGGAGCAGGAAGCTGGCTGATCGCATTGCAGCTGTGTTCAGGGAGCAGACAGAGAACAGTGAGTGGGGTGAGGCTGTAAATCCCAGCAACAAATGTCCTCTAGCGAGCCCTCACCTTCAATATGGTTCGAGTGCCACCTGATGGGTACCAAGTGTACACAAGCCTATGGGGGATATTTCTAAATCCCAAGTGTATTTAAATGCATTTCTGACATGTGTGGCCTGTGATAGGCTTAAAACAATTGGAAGTCAAGGAGCACCCACACTGTCTAGATGCTGTCATTAAACACTTAGAGCAGAAGAACCAAAGAAGAGGGAAGAACCAGCCAGAAGTACGGTGGTGCTGGGGAGCGTCTCACCTCTCACAAGCTTTTTCCTTCCAAAGTGGAATGTCAGCCACAGTCACAGAATCATGAAACAGCAAGGATGTTTAGAAGGCATCCATCCCAGGACAAACTTCAAGTATGTATGTATGTATGTATGTATGTATGTATGTATGTATGTATGTATGACGATGATGGGAAGTGAGTTCAAATCACAACATGAGTGGATACGAGGACTCTGTTATATCCAATTAGATCCATAGACTGCATGGACTTCCAGCATCCATTTCCTTTTTCTCTTGATAGCTTCATTTGTTAGGATTCTTTAAAAAAATTTTTAGTTATTATTTTTATTTTATTTTATGTGTATGAGTGTATTTATTGCCTGTATGTATGTAAGTGCACTTGTGTGGGGCAATGACCATGGAGGTTAGAACAGTGCATCAGATTCCCCTGGAACTGGAATTTCGGATGGTTGTTAGCCATCACGTAGGTGCTGGAAACTGAACCTGGGCCCTCTGGAAGAGCAACCAGTGCTCTTAACCACTCAGCCATCTCTCCAGCCCCTCATTTGCTAGAATTCTAACAGAATGACAGATGTAGGATCGTTGATCTTTTTTCTATTGTTTCTTTTGCAACTTTAACATTTTCTTTTGCTGATAAGGCAGCAATTAAACTTTAAAAAGCAAGGTGAGCCCATATCTAAACTTGTCAGGGTGTTTGGCCCTGAAATGGACTTGTATTGATGAAAGCCACAACTGTAAGTTGTTCTAGAGAACACATCTGCCCTCAGGAGGAGTTTTGGCACTTTCTCTTTACTCTGGTGGGACGGGATTTTGACCCACTAATCTTATGCTTCCCTGTATTTTCCTTTCATTTTCTCTCCATTGAGAAAGCAGGCTCTGCGCTCCCTGTCCCCGGGGAGGCCCACGGCAAAGCTGCGGCAGAGGGGTCTGCACATCCTAAACCTGTAGAGGAAAGGAATCTCTAGAGCTTTTCTCAGAGGGTTTTGAAGAAACACAGAGGGGAAGAAATTTCATCTGAACTGGAAAGACCAAAAAGAAATATTTTCTAAGTAGCAGGGGTAAGGGACACACATGCCTGTACCACACACACATGCACACTCCATGATGCCTTGCCAGGGCAGGAGATTCTATAGCTGTGGTACAAGTCTTGGAAAAGACAGAGGAAAGTCAAGGAAAAACTATTATATGTGCCCCTGAAATCACCCTCACTGGGGCTCAGCACTACATTGTTCCAGACAGCAGAGGGTGGTATCTCTAGGACCCAGCTTCTTAAATTGTGGTAAGAAATTCTGATTTGATAGTAGAAAAGTTCACATACAAATATATAATATTGACATATTTCTGGTCTACATTTGCAGGACAACTCACTAAGAGAGGCAAAATGCATTCCAAGAAGGAAAAAATATTGTAAATATGATAATATATTTGATTTGAATTATATTATATATAAAAATATCCATATTAGGAGCTGCATGACCATAAGGAAACAGAGCCTTACAGGCTCCTGGGACCTTGCTCATATGAACTTACAGCAATGGTGACAGCATGCACAAGACCCTTGTATATTCAATCAGACTTAAAAATCCAGCATAGTACTGGGAAGATGAACAGGAGGCCACAACTTTGGTGAGTAACTGTTGGCAGCTGATCACTGCTGGGTGAGGGAGAGTTGATCTTCTTTCAGGCAGATACTAGACAGGCTGAACAGGCTTCAGTATATGAACTCATACTGAGGGACATCTGGGTACATGAACTTGACTTGATAGGCCTTAACACATATGACAAAATGCATGAAGTCCTGTAGGCAGGTTATGGGGAAATACAGATAGGGAAGGGGGAGGTCTAAATATGTTTAAGGTATATTGTATGAGATCTACAAAAATTCAATAAAATTATATCAAAAAAGAAAAGGAAAAAGAAATAGAAAAAATTCATATTAGTTATTTCTCAATGCTTTACCATATTAAAAATATGCAACAAAACAAATAGCTTTAATATATATTATTATTTAGCACTTAAATACTTCCTAGTGCCTCTAGGAAGTACAAATGGGAGATAAAATTGACTACGAGTCCCACTCACTTTTTAACTTGCAGTGCCACTAGGAAACTCCTTTATTGTATTTGTTCTGATCAAATTACTTTGCTTTCAGCCACTTCCTTGAAACAGAAAAGAAATATGGCATTCTTGTTGACATAAAACACCAGTCTCCACACACTCATTGTTTCTCTGTCTCATTCATCTTTAAAAATTACTCACCCTTGGGAGTGCCACTGAGTCTATTTCTTTGAAGAATTAGCACCTTTAGATGTGGGAATCCATTGTAGAAGTTGGTTCTGTGGTGCTTTCTTCCTGAGGAGGGAGGCAGGGGTAGATCCACTGAGAGAGAGCGCATGCCATTGTTGCTGAGGTTCAGTATTTCCAACAAGTGCAAATATGCAAAAGAGCTTAAGGTCATTTTTGATATGAGGTTGTTACTGAGGCTCAGGTGCTTTATTTTCCATTCTTTTTTGGTGTAAGACTGGAAGAGAACGCTACAGAAACAGAAGCTTATGTCTGCTGTGTCTGCTGTCTGTGGTGTGTGTCCTGTCGAACGGTTTGCCAGAAGATACCTATCCCACTGGCACTCAGAACTGAGGAAAATATTGCTTTTTCTCGATAGATTTGTTGTTTTTCCCATAAAGCAAAGCCCTATAACTATGGCAGTAACTTGGAAGTAGAGATTTTTCATAATGCCTATAGAAAAGAAAAATAAATTGACTCATTCAAAATAGCATATGTAAAAAAAAATAAGCAACAGAAATTTTCATTTTCAATTTAAGATTTAGGAACTATTCTGATTTCCTTGCCAATTCAAGTGAACATTTGATTTCTTAGGAACTGGGGAATTGAAAGGTTGCTACCCAAAAGGTAAGGTTATAGAATAAAATTTCATTTATGAACAGTTTAGAAGAAAGGTGCCCTCTTTCAGAAAATACATATTTATCAAACCCTCACCTCTGCATTTGTTTTCCCAGTAGTGTTCAGCTTGTAGTCTGCTTTGAATGAGTCAAACTTAGCCACAGGAAACACTTTTCCATCCTGCTGCTAGTTATTAGTATGGGGCAAAGTCTTATACTTATCTACAACACTGGCATGTGGTTTATCACATGAGTGACACAGTTACACTAAACTGTGAACCTCCCGTAGCAATAGAAAGGGCAAGGCACAAAGGAAATGCTTGATTATTTTATGACTAGAACCAAAGCTTGTCTTTTGTGGTTTTTCCACTGTAGGCGACTCATAAGGATTATTTTTCCATAATACCATTTTATTTATGTATTTCTCTCCTTCAAAATCTCCACATAATCTAGTTAGCCCAATGAGACATATTTGATAAATTCATGTGGAGTAATTGCAAGATGTGGCACAGGCAAAGAACTATGTTTGCCTCATACTAAAAACCACTCCTCTCCTATTAGTTCCAAGACTAATGCCTTTCCCCTCCCCAGTCTGAATCCTATACACCTGTCAGTCTCAATTCCTAGGGCCTGAAAACCTCTTCTCTGCTCTAGCCTCTATTTTGTCTTTCACTTTCACAAATATTTCACTTTCAGTAAATATTGAAAGAACAAATGCGTACAGTAACATCTAATTTGACAGTATGTCAATACCATCCCACACTGTTTTGTGTCTGTTTCATAAGCAAAAAGAAGGTAATGACCCCCTGTCAACACATCTGTGTTTCATAGTTTTAACATTCTGGAGCCTGTCACTGACTATACTCTGTTGTATGACTGAATGTGCGGCTCAAAGGACATTCTAAATGCAACTTTTAAATTTTGTTTCATACAAAGTCAATTCTCCCATTCCTCAGAGGGCATCTAAATTTAGGTACATAACTGCAAAGGTGCCCTACAACAAGCAGTGATTTATAGTGTACCCTTTATGCAATACCAGAAACTGAGTTTGTTTTCCCAGAGATAGATTTGTTTCAACATTAAAGCTGCAGCCAGTATGCACAGAATTGTATGTCAAGCTAATGCAACATGAGGGAAAAATATGCAGCTATCAGAAATACACACATTACTTTGCAGTGCTGAACAGAAAGATGTGGTTAAAAAAATCGCTTTAAGGGTTATAAATGAAACATTTTTATAGTCTGGCTCTTTCCAGTTTGAAAAGACTGGTATATGAATAGATTTGAGTTCCAAACAGCTAGATTAGGAGAAATTTAGATTTAAAATGAAAAGTATTAATGTGTGAAGAAACCTTGTTTATATAACATGCCAAGGTCGATGCATCAGGTAAGAAACCACCGAGAACTCCAAAGCAAAACTCCGGAGGAAAGTAGAAACAATGAAGTAGAATGTAAGTCTTTCAGTAGTCATAGTCAAACTGAAGTGTGAGGAAGCAGCTAGAAACAGAAGTTAGAACAGAGATACAGACATGCATGTACCAGAGAGTGAGAGGGAGGATGGTAATAGGACGAACCAAGGTAGAGAAGAAATGAAAATTCATTCTACTTTAAGAATTTAGAAAAAGAGGAGGAAAAAAGCAAGAGAGGTTCTTTGGGTGAGGACGAGTTGCAGAAAGGACATGCTCCTGAGGCATACCTTAGGAGCCGTGGGTGATTTCCAGATCTTCTATAGCTGGATCTAGGCAGGTGGGGATTTTAGACCCGAGTTCTCAGGACTCCACCCATCTTAACCCTGTGCCAGCTCTGCGACCAGCCCTTTCATCTCTGACTAGTGCCACAATGAGTGTGCATGCTCCCCTGGGACACTGGGGAGAGGCTTCTGTAAGGCACAGAGAGTAGGACTACCTACATTAGAATGCAGTTTTCTACCCCTGACTCCAGAGATTATACAAACAGATCACAGTGCCCCATTTTCCAGCCATGTTCCAGTTCACTGTGTTCATGATAAAGAAGCTTGTCAGTACATAGTCATTATGAAATTGCCAACAAATTTCAAATAATTTTTTATTGTAAACAGAGGTCATCAAGTTACCATAAACTGAAACTGAAACTCAAGCTAGCAATCTGAAGCACATTTATATGTTTATTTTCATATGGCATAACTTGTAACCTTTGGCTCTCTCGACAACATTCAAAAGATTACTACAATGATTAGCATTTCAATGGTCTCTGTGTCAAGTTTAGCACAGTGATTTTAACGCCCTTAAAAATACTCATTCAAAACCAGGTAGACGTTCCACCTTTCATCACTAAAATGACGGCACAAAGTTTATTTTGCTTTTTTCACAATGCAACAAGATTACCAGTAAGTATAATTTAAAATATTGCAGGTGATGTATGGTAGCTCCTTGTATTTTTCCCCTCTGCCCACTGGACATTCTCTAAGGAATTCTGTATTTCTTTTGCCCCTCCTTGCATTGCTCCTCACTTCTAGAAAACTGTCCTTGAACAAGCAATGCCTTTGTTCCTCCATCATTTGCTTCCTCCCACTTGTCATTCACCTCCCCCAAGTCAGGGAAAGGAACAGAACATTTTCCATTGGTGTAAAACTACCCTCTGGTGGCCAAACTGAGCTGCTGAGGTTTTACTGCGAATCAGGGAGGTCACAGATGAAGGGGGTGTTTGTTCTTGGCATGCTTCCCAGTGAAATTTCCAGGTCTACAGTTCATGGAAAGGCAGGGGCTGCCTGCCGTACATCCTAAGATGCCTATACCCAGGAACAGCCCGTTTTATAAAGCATCAAAATGTTTTCTCATGTCAAAGTGACCAATGGTGATGCATCACAAACACAAGTATTTCTCAAGGAGACACTAAAATAGATTCTTTTTTCATGAACTGCATTTAATAAATAATACTTTGTAATATAGTGTTCTGTGGTTTTAGTAAAAATATTTATTTAGAGAAACTCTCAAAACAATCTAAATAGAAAACACAAGTAACAAATGTACAATTTAAAAACACACTGAACATGGAAGTGAGAATTCAAATGTTCTTTTTTGAGTATCAGTTATGTATTAAGTGATACTGAATATATCCAGAGGTATAAATCTCACTGTCTCTCTTCATTTAAAAAAACTACTCAGTGTCAGGTCACAAGTCAATTCTTAGTTCAACCTGACTTACTGAGTTCACAATCTCTGAGGTATTCAGTTTTTCTTTAGACAGAGTCAGCAATATTGAGTACAAATTGTTTTGTGCATTGATTTTCTCATCCATACAATTCTAACTGACCATGATGGAATACAGTTGCCTTTTAGTGCAGGCTGGGCCTAGGGTACTGGCTTACTGTCTATTTTACAGCCATGTATGCTGAGTTCTACCCCTGATCCTGTGTATTTCAGTAATATCAGAGAATTATCAGAGAATTCCTTTCAACTCAAGTATTAAATATGCTAAGAATCAACTGACTTGAGGGCTGTAAATAATCACAATGAGACAGTGACATGAGGAGCAGAGGTAAAGTTTTATATTTAGCTGCATCATCTCCTGCATTGGCACCTTTAGTCCAGTGTATACTGACTTAGATTCTAGGCATAGCACACTTTAAAAGGGTGATATTGGTATGGGCATGGGACACTGGAGAAAACAAATCAGGCTGTTCCTGAGCAGCAGAGCCTGTCAGGGCTATGGCCTCCCCACTTTACACTGAGCTGCCCAGGGCTAAGGGCAAAATACCCTGGTCTTTCTGTAACCCATTCAGATGCTCCAGTGTGCCAACGGGATCAAGTGGACCTGTCTATAGAATTAGCTTAAACTAGCTCAAGATAGTTTAAAATCTAACAGTGATTGGTCACTTTTTTGCTAACAGATTTGTCTTTGAACTAGAATAGCACACTTATTTTGTTTGATTCCTACCTTACTAGGTAAGTCTGAATTAGGCTTTTTCATCTTTCTAGAGTTTTAAATAACTGAAAGTTCAGTGCGGATAGTAAAAAAGAACACAGCATTTGGAATCAGGTACATCAAGGTTGGAATTGAGCCTGAATTCCAATCCCAAGACCACTCTTTACTATGTGATGTTAGGCAGGTTTCTTAACTTCTCTGATCTTCAGTTTCCTAATGAGTAAAGCTGGGATAATAATACTTGTAGAGGTGCAGTAAGAATTCAGGAAATGAAGCGTGCAATGCCTAGGACAACACCTGGCAAGATGCTTGATAAAGGACAGCTACTGTTATTACTTAAAAGTTAAAACTGAGATTGTGTTCTAATGTCTACACATTGCAAACACTATGTGTCATAATTTCAAGTAAACATTGCATGACAGAGTATTTCTTTAGGGCAAAACTAAGGAACCATAGTTTCACATGACCTCACATGTATAAAAATTCTTTAATGAGTTGAATGTGAAAGCATGGCTTCAGTTAATGCACTAAAAAACTGTGTGCTTCCTTTTAGAAGCCAAAAGACAGAGCATGAAACAGTGATGCTGGACCCTCAAAACATCTCTATTAGTGAGTCTATCCTCATTATAAATGACCAGAAGCTTACCTAGAGTGAGTCTTCACAGTGGCTTCAGCAAGAGATAGCAGGATGTTAAAAACACCTCAAACATTAATTTTGATTTTATTAATGCCTCATAATAGTACTGTCCTTTGAAGATCAGTGCATCTTAATAAAACATATCTTAAATATGGAGGGCACATAATACAGTAGTACTCTCCAGTTAAAATATTACAGTGAGTTATCGCAAACTGTAGAAACACGGTTTACATGCATTCTTAAAAAAGAAAAGGTCAAGTTGAGATCAGAACATATTGACTTATAGGTGTCTTCTAATGAGTATTTCCACAAGGGTTGTCTGAGACCTGGCAGCCCATGTTGTGGCCTGTTACTTGTACTTTGAAGAGAGTCCCATCAGCACACATGCAGAGCTTGTAGCGCACCCAGTCACCACTCCCAGACTGGTCCTCACTGGAGGAACTGGGTAGACGAGTTGGGCTGACCATGACAGTTCCATTGAGGATGATACTGTTTTCCTATGAGGATAATATGATTTAGTTACCTCCACATAGGTACAGAAGAAAGTTATTAAACTAAACAAAACTTACTGGAATGTTAACATGGAAAGAAGGCACAGAGAGAGTAAGTGATGACCAAAACAATTTATGACAACAACAAAACCAAAACAGACACTGAGATTCAACCAGTGACTCCTCTGTTTAGTCAGCCCATCCTGCATGTCAACAAACCTGCAACAAAGCTTGCAATTACTAGTTGAAATCACATCCAAATACCTGTGCACTGTAAGATTGATGTTGACAGAGTCTCATGTTATTTTCACTTTTAACTCCTAAGAGAATTGGAAGTTACTAACTGATGTTGACATTCTGAAGATAGACTGTTTTTCTCTTAGAGGAAACTAATTTTAATTAATAGAAATTCAATTAAAGATTAAAATCATATAATTTTAGAGCAGGCTTTCAAAGGAACTATCTGAAGATCTCTTCTTCAAAGCCACAGCTCCAGACACATTCTTATATGGTAGGATCTTATGTCTCTGTCTCTCTGTCTCTCTCTCTCTGTGTAAACACATGTTTGTGTGTGTTGTACACATGTGCATGTACAGCCTAGAGGTAGACTTCGACTCTCTCAATTGCTTTCTATCATGTTTTTGAGACAGTCTCTCACTGATCTTGGAGTTCAGCCATTTGGCTAGGCGGTCTTATCCACTTATGTCTGCATTCCCATTGCAAGAATTACAGGCATGCACCACTGCTGTGCCCAGTGTTTTATATGAGTGCTGGGGATCTGAACTCACATCCTCATGTGGCAAGCAACTCGCCAGCTGAGCCATCTCCCCGGCCTCCTATCTCTGCCTGTCTTCCTCCTTCCCCTCTTTCCTTCCTTCCCACTCAACAACTAATTACTAAATAGCCATCACACACCATCCTAGGAGCTAGGATACAGCAGTAAATAAAATGCTCAAAGACCAAGTTCTCACAGAGTGACACTTAATGGAGTAGAACAGACAATAAACCCATGAACAGATAGAATCTATAGGACATCAGATGGGAAAATGTTATGGGGAAAAACAAACAGAAGCAGAGGATGGCCAGGTACTATTTTACACACAGGGAAGTCAGACAAGGTTTCTCTGATAAGGGTCACATTCCAACAGAAACTAAGAAGTGAGGGGGTGGGGCACGTAGATAACTGGGGAAGGGTATTCAGAGTAGAGGATACTGTGTGCAAAGGGCCCCCAGTGAAGATGTGCCTGGCATAAGGAGGTCAGCATGGTTGAAACACACAGGGTAAAGGGGCTACTGGTAGGACATGAGGGATCAGACCTGTAAATATGGAGAATGGACTTTGGATTTTACTTGGAATTTGAAGGGAAACCGTTTAGAGGGTGATAGGATGATGGAAGTGATGTGATGTTTTTGAAAGGTCACTCTGAACCAGATATGGTAGCAGATGCCTGTAAGCCTAGCATTCTACAATCCCAGCACTGGGAGGCTGAGGCAGAAGCATCTTGAGTTTAGGCCAGCCTGGGGGTGCATGCTGAGACCTATCTCAAAAAAAAAAAAAAAAAAAAAAAATTCAGATCCTACTTTGGTCATCAAACAAACGAAAAAAACTAAGCCAGGTGTAGTGAAAGTTCCAGGCCAGGTGGGGCTACAGGGAAATTTTGTCTCAAAACAAAAACAAAAACAAAATCCCCAAACAAACAAAAAAACCCCAAATAACTAAAATGAGGCCACTGGCTGCTGGGCAGAGCAAAGACTACAGCATGAGGGTTAGACAGTGAAGGCTAGTCAGGAGGCTGTTCTAACATCCAGGCAGAAAATGATGGCAGTTATGCCGTGGTGATGATGGTGGAGGAGTGAGCAGCTAGGCTCTGCACGGCCTCTGCAGGTGGAGCTGGGTTTGCTGCTGGACTAATGGTTTACAGGAGAGGAGCACTGATAAATCCATGTTTGGGGAGGAGCCAGGACACCAAGATTTTAGACTGGCTAGACTTCAGATGCCTGGCAGATAAGGAAGTGGAGAAGGGAAGCAGGTAGCTGGGTAAGGGAATCCTGGTTCAGAGGAGATGTCAAGGCAGAAGTTCCAAATGTGCCAGTCATCTAGGGAGGGACTTACAGAGTGCTGTAAAGTAGCAGAAATGGCTGATTTGTTATGCAGCGGCAGTCAGGGTGAGTAAGTAGCTCTTATCTGAAGTGCCTGGGACTATAACTATTTCAGACTTCTGAGCTGATTATTTTTATTTTGGAATATTTGCATAGACTTTACTGGCTGAGAATCCTTAATCCAAATTTTCAGAATAGACACTCACCCCGGTTCAGAATATATGATGTTTAAGGAACCCATTTTCCATTTGTTCCAATGCCGCCATCTTGTGGTCATTTAATTTTACTCTCTTTAAATTGTTTTTTAAGCAATTTCAAGAAACTGTAATTGGTGAAGGGTGACTAAAGTTAACAGTATTTTTACATTTAAAAATAGGCGTGAGAGATTATTTTGAATGCTCTTAAAGAAATGGTAAATATGAGATTAGTGATAGGCTAATTAAATTACTCAAATTTAATCATATATGAAAACAATGTACCCCAAAAATATGTACATTACATGTCAGTTAAAGATAAAAATGAGGAGGCTGGAGAGATCTAGCAGTTAGGAGCACTTGCTGCTCTTTTTTTCCCCAAAAGTTTCACTTTTTCAATATATATTTTTATTGTATTTTTTAATTTCCTACAATAGATCTTAATCATATTTAGACCCTTTCCCTACCTACACTCCCCATAGCCTGCTCACTAGGTTTCATACATTCTGTGATATATGTTGAAGCCTATCGAGTCAAGTTTGTGTACCCAGATGTCCCTCGGTGTGAGCTCATCCGCTGGAAGCCTGGTCAACCTATTTAGAGTCTCTCCCTTAAAGAAGACCAATATGTACCTTACATGTTACTGCTAGGTCAGCTGATCCCTGACCCAGCAGTGATCAGCTGCCAATAGTTCCTCTGCTAAGGACTGGGCCTCCTGCACATTTCTCCAGTTCTCTGTTGGTTTTTGTCTGGTTTGAGTTTGTATGTGTTAGAGGAGCAAATAACTCCATAGATGAACTGGTCAAGACTATAAAATCTCTAGTATACCTGTTGAAAGACACACATTTCCAGTTTCACTGGTCAATCATCTGGTCATAGCATCACCCCTAGGCAGGCAGGTTTGCCTTAAGTTATGCTAAATAGATAGGCAGAATACCTAGTGCGTTAATGAGACGGTGACTTTTCCTGCCTCCCAGAGTTTCTGGACTGGCCACAGGCATGTAGGTCTCTGTAAGTCTTCCCATGTTTCTGAATTCTTCAGAAAGTGTAATCTCTCCTTTTCTTCTTCATATCCCTTTTCTAACCATGCTTTCTTTAATACTTTGGGCTGCCCTAGAATCTTGTATTTCTTTACTTTTTCTCTGAAACTTCCTTCTCCCTGCCATGTGGCTACCAATCAGCCACATGTCTGACCTCAATGCAGGCTCTAAACCTGCAAGGCTTCATGGCTTTCTTTCCTTCACCCCTCCATTTTCCTCCCCAAGGGAGCTGATTACCAGCTCCCCTGCCCTCTGAGGATTTTCCTTAAAATTCTAATAAAATTGCCCTAAAAGCTTCCATTTGGGTCCATTATTAATTATTTTATGAATGAGACTAAGAACCCTCTAGGACCTCTTTTTCCCTGTTTCATATGGGTCTTGAAAAGCATTTGCTACTTTTGCAGAGGACCAGGGTTCAGTTCCCAGTATTCATATCAGGAGGCTTACAACCTGTAACTCCAGTTCCAGGGTGTTGACATTTTACTAAATCCTTCCAGATTGTCATAAACGTTAATATGTTCTGAAAGAAGTGGGATAATTCATAAGTTATTTTATAACTTTCTCTTCACAACACATTTAGAACATTTCACCATAACAAAAAATAATCATTTAAAATAATTATATACTATTCCACATATAGATTTATGTATCAAAGAACCTAACAATTATCTTAAATTCTTTAAAAAATACTCACAGCCTTCAACTCCATATTTCCACCCATGTGAAATTCGATGGTTTTGCCCATAATGAATACACCTTCATTTCCACGCACAATAGCACGCCCATCAACTTTTATGTTTAAATCACTGGTTGCATTACTGGTAATCTAAAAATTTAGACAAATATAAAAAACAATTCATCAATGTGAGAATTATTATCATAGGTATAGAAATGAAAGTTCCAACCATGAGATTTCATAAATGTGGGAATTAATATGAAAGCGAGAACCAGCTAACACTCACGCAGGCTAGAGTGTTCTGGAGCATGTTCTTACAAGCCACTGTCTCTCCCACTGGATAGTTTCAGACAATCATTCTCCATTAGTAATGTGAAAACAATAAAACATACCCTTTCAGTTGATGCTTTTTGAACATTCAAACTTTTCACTCCACTTGGCAGATGAAACTCATGAGCTTCATAGTCTGTGCTGAATAAGATATTTTGTGTTCTTGGGTCGAAAAACTGCATACCGATGTCACTCGTAATAGAAGTTTTGTTCTTTTCTACACTGAGCTTTGTTGTCCCTTGCTGAAAAACAATCTTCAGAAAAGTACTTTATTGTGAATATGTTTTCAAAGAAAACTACTAACGACTTCATGAAGAGTGGTATTTTTAAGAACACTATAAAACATGACAACAGCAAAAGTCTAACTCCAAACACTTCCCCATAAAACTGTGCAATATACAACTTTAAAATGAAGGCTTATACATTCATATTATTATGTGACTGAGTGCACAAAAACATAGGTCATAGGAATGTGGTTCAAGGCCCAAGATAACCCTTGAGGTTTCACTCAGTTAAAAGTCTGTCTTAGCAGATGCTTGGCATCACTTGTCACTGACCTGTGTGGCATTTCTCTTCCAGATTCTCAGAATCTGGCCTTTCTAAAGCTTTTATAAAGGCTTCTTAACACAGAAAGGAATGATCTATCTATTCTTATACTAATTACAACAGTCAATGCTCCCACTGAACAAAATCTAGAATATTAAGTACTAACTCTACAAATAGATCATAAAGGCAACATTATCAAATGTTGAATATTTATGAATATTGGATACATTTATGAATACATAATGAATATTAATTTTTTCTAAAGGAAAGCTCTAGGTTTTCATGAAGAATTGCTGACTACTGCCCCTTTACCATCTACATACTTGATTAGTGTGGAAACTTACCGGCTGGTTATTGCCAGTGATGACCAAGTTCTCATTCCGCCTGCCTCCTACTGTGCTCTTATAAAGAGGATGGATCACTCCCATGTCAGACACCTGCTTAAAGCGAAGTAGACCGCTTTCATGAAACTCCATGCTGTCACAGCCATTTGGTCCAATTCGAATCACAGCCCAGATGACAAGAGTTATCTGAAAAAGAGTTCATGCCCACTGTAAATAGGCAGCATATACTTGCTACACCTAGAAAACAAACAGGAAAGATCATAAGAAAGACAAGACCTTCTAGAATATTTAACCCATGAGATGAACATATTTATAGGTGTTCTACTTATAAAATGCTATTTTTAATCAAAGTACTAAATCTATGATAAACAGCAGTCTCATTTTTTTCCTATTCGTACAACGTCTGGTTCCCTAAAGCCTTTCAACAATTGTAGCTATTTTATCCAAAATCTCTCTCCATACTTCTAAATAATATATGCATGCTATTATTTCTTCAACAACTTAAAACTGTATCTACTAATTTCCCATGTTAGTAGGTAATAATGTTAGCCATTGTTACATCTCTTCTCTCCCAGCTTCAATCTCAATTTTGCTTAAATCTGTGTTCAGTATTTTCAGTATTATGGCCACATAAATATTGTATACGGTTGCACCAAACACTTTACTGTGATTAATTAATTTATTATACTTATGTCTGGCAGTTTAATTTTTTTTCATTTGCTTTGCTTCTTTTTCCTTTTTTTTTTTTCAGTCTCCCAGTAGCCCCCAACTGTCCTGATACTCCCCATGTAGACCATGCTGGCCTTGATTTCACAGAGATGCACCTACCTCTGCCTCCAAAGTGCTGGGATTAAAGGTATGCACCATCATGCCTGGCTTTTGCTTCGTACCTTGAAAAATCTAACTAAATCTCAAACCTTTCTATATTTATGTAAATCATTCAATAAAATGCTCTACAAGTCCAAGCTTCCCAGATTACCTCTGTCTTCTTTTCCAGTTACTCTTCCAGGGCCCCATCTTTCTGCTTGCTCAGGACTGGAGAGGCTCTTGGCTGCCCGCACAGCTGTTAACTGTGAACTTTTCCTCCCCTTTGAGGTTGTCTTTCTCTCATTAAAGGTGCCTAGTTTCCTGTATTCCTGCCTTTACTGCTTTAGTGCTTTCTTTTGGTAGAGCAGTGTCTTCCTTAGAAACAATGCATGAGAAGTAAAAATGTTTGGTGTGTGTACACAGTAAAAGCATGTGTTTATAATCCCTCCCATTGAACGGATTGGCACACTGCCTAGGTACACTTTCTAAGACTTTAACTCTGAAGGTCACAGTTTTATTATTTTCCCGTTTCCAATGCTCATGACTGGTCCAGGCCACTCTGATTCTATACTCTTCATATACAGCATATTTCTCTCCTCTCTAGAACATTTTGTATCTTTTCTTTATTCCTGGTTTTCTTAAAATTTACAGTGTTAGCCTGGTCTCTTTTTTGAATGTATTATGCTGAATTCAGAATGGTAGGTTTTCAATTTTTTTCTAGAGAATTTTCTTAATTTGATTTGATAACTTTCCTTCAGTGTTTTTCTATTTTCACTTTCTGAATCTCATTTTAACAGAAAGCTCCCAGACTGATTCTGTAATTTTGTTACCTTTGGTCAGAGCTCCTTTTATCTACTTTCCAGTATCCGTCCATCTTTCCCCTTGTGTGTATATTTCTATGACTTCTTCATTATTCTCTAATGGCACCACTGAAATGCCATGTTATTCTTGTTTCATGGATTTAATATCCTACTTCTCTGAAGAGGCTTAGTTTAGTTTTAGGAAGTTCTTTTTGTTTTTACAGGGTCTCATGTAGCCCAGGCTGGCCTCTAACTCACTAGACATCCAAGACTGGCTTTGAACTCCTGATGCTCCTGCCTCTGACTCCCAAGTGCTGGGTTTACAGGTGTGTGCCACTACGGCTTTGTGGGTTTTTGTTTTCTGTCATTCACCACATAGTCTTATCTTCTTGAGTTTCTATTTTCCACCATGGTTGGGTGTTTTGGTCTCTATCAGTTTTCAATTTTTACAGCTGTTTTTGAAAATCTATTATTGGTCCCTGGCACGGTGCACATACTTAACACTGCAAAAAGTCTTTAGATAACTGTCATGATCCTCTTGCCTCTGCCCCTTCAGGGTATTCTACCAGCCTGTGTCACCACAATCAGCTCATAAGGAACTTTCTGCTTATGAGTTGCAGGCTTCCCAGTAGAGAAGACAGGCTTCTTCACTGGGCCCTGTTAAATGTCCCTGTTGTCACGTCCTTGCTCCAGGTGCTCCAGCTCTCCAGAGAGGGCTCCTTTACCTCTTGCCTGCTGCGTGAGCTGGAAGTGGAGGATGAAGGTAGGGTGGATGGGAAAGGAAGCCTCAGTGCTCAGTGCCAGGCTGCCCTGCTTTCAGAATGGAAACTCATCTTGCATTCCTTTGCACAATAGTCCAGGGCGTCTGGACACACATGGTTTAGCAGAGGTTAGACAGGGAAGTTGGTTAGCTACTGGCTGGGAGGGGAGGTCCTGGGCATTTCACTAGTGAAGTCAAACCATTCTTCTATTTCAGTTCCTGTCTTGCTCCTGATTTCCAAGGTCCTTGTTCCCTAACTCTTGAGGCTTTTCAGAGTTCTGCAAGGCACCTTACCAACAAAGCCTGTGACCCACGGCCAACTCTCTCTCAAACACACACACACACACACACACACACACACACACACACACACAAATAATAAAAATCTTAGGCCAAGCTTGATGGTGCACACCTTTAATTCCAGCCTAGCCTAATTGGTGAGCTCCAGGCCAATGAGAGATCGCACATGATCTCTTTCTTCTGAGAAGTTATTTGCCAATCTTCCTATTTTTTCTTCTAAATTATGTTAGGATTTCAGTTGTTCCCTACTCTCTTCAAAGATATTTATGCTTCGTGACATTGTTACCTTGGAATAAGCTTCTTGGAGATGAAGACACAAATGTCTTTGCTTTGTCATCTTAACCAGAAATCTCCCATAAAACAAATTTATAAGGCAAAATAAATTCAGAATCCATGATCCTAGTTAAGCTCTTTGTGATGCTGTCTATAAAGTGTGTACTAGCTCTTACTGGCCTTAGTAAAGACAGACACAAGCATTTTAGGTGTACATAAAACACAAAGGTTTGCTCAGAAGAAAAAATAACAATGGAATCACTTTTGAACAAATTTCTTAGTTATGTCCATCATTCTCTGAGAACATCAGTGTATACACATGCCAGAAGGTTCCAGTATTAACTGCCAGAGTCACAATCTCAGATTAAAAAGCCTTTTCTCAAAAAAGTAAATATTGGGGTTGGAGAGCTGGCTCAGGGATTAAGAGTACTGGCTGCTCTTATAGAGGACCCAGGTTTGGTTCCCAGCACCCATATGGTGACTAATAACCATTGTAAATCCAGTCCCAGAGGATCCAACAGCCTCTTCTGGTCTCCATGAGCACTGCATTCATGGGCACACTTAAACACATGCACACAAAACATTCATACATGTAAAAAAATTAAATAAAACCAAAAAAGTAAATATCTCGAGAAAGGGCAACAGGCCAGGTGTTCGGCACTGTGAATCAGCCTACTGGAGCCTTTCAATCTTGGCAACAGGGATTTAAGACTACAAAACACAAGTGCTAACTGCCATTAATGAGCTTACATTTAAAAAATGTATCCAAAGAGGCAAAACAACATGCAGGAAACATCAAATGAAAAGAGAATTGTACTTTTTAGGGGAGGAAAAGGCAATAAAACCACAGCAAAGTTCTTTTCCACTGAGTTTACTCTCCCATTATAAAAACAAGTCCTTTAAAGGGAAGAGTTCAATATTCCTAGATGAGATTAATATATAAAGATATTCTCTCACTGG